TCTGCAGGACTCTTGCTCCAGGCGGGCAAGACTGTTTGAATTGGGAGTTTGCTTAGCTCCTGATCCTTGTACAGCCACAACTTGAATTTAAGCCACAACTGCAAAGGAAGAATTGGGAGCTTTCGCTTTTGGATTTGGTACATTTCTGTTGCACTGCTTTTGGAAGCAGCACAGTAGTGAAAAGTATCAAATTCAAACAGTGCCGCATTTAACCTGCGTCTCCCAAGGGATTGTTCCGTCGCGGCTTGCATTTGGTGCTGTGTTTGAAGCTGCAGCACCAAACCTGTTCCTGTACCTGACACCGGATGACGGACAGATCTGTGTGGCTTGGCACAAACAGCCTAGCAGACCAAAGGGCCTCATTAGACTCCCCGACTGCAGGTGCCTCACTTCTGGAGGAGAATCTGAAGACGAAGGAATTGTGCCAGAGGCAGCGGGTCGTGGGAGGGATTTGAAGGCTGTTCCGATGGGATAGCAGGGGAGAAAGGGCAGAGCCCTTTGAGGGAGCTGGAGACCTGAGGGTGAAGGCAGGGATTTGTCAGTGTATGAGAGCAGAGAGGTGGCAGCAATTGAGGAAGGGCGTGTCAGACTTGGAGAAGAAGGGGCTTATCTTCATCTACCTGCTCTCCTGGCCCTTTCCCAGCACTGCAGCTCTGCTCTGCTTGAAACTAATCTGGATTGAGTGAGGTGGGAGGGCATACTATTGGGTGGGTTCTGGTGGCCTTTCGAATGTAAGCCATTGGGAACACATGGCTTTCAACATGTGATGCTGGCACCTTCCTTTTTTAAAGCAGAGGGGGAAAAGAAATGCATTGTCGTCATTCCAGGTCTTACAGATCCACAGATGGACGGACAACGCCGCAGCTGGGGAACCCCTCGACCCCACAACCAGCATCACCCGATGTTGGCAACTGCTACGCGCATTCTGATGTCTCCCACACCTACTCGCCACGCAGCCCCATCAGCCCAGACATGTTTTCTGGTCCCCACACCCCTCTGTCCCGGGACTCCATGCGACATCTGTCCAGTGAGGACACACGATGTTCCACACCGGAATCTGGCCTTGATGAACAGGTGGGTGGTGGGTTTCTTTGTGGCTTTGCTTAGCATTCCAGGTGGTAATATTAATGAGTTGTATTGACAGACAAGTAATGTCTATTGTGAAGAAGGCAATCTCTCGTCCCCACCCTCCAGTAATGGGTTTCCAGGGCGCCTGTAGTTAGAGTGGGGTTTTACTTTCTGGACAGAAAGCAGGGCTCCCTTCCCCAGTCCATCTGTGTGCAAAAATTGTCTTAACAAAAGCACTGGATGCAATTTCTCAGTGGAACTGCTATCAGTCTGTCTTTGTACACAGGTGAGGTTATGCCAGGGGCCTTCTGGAGAGACTTAACTCTTCCGCATCAGCCAGCTTGGCCAATCTCTGGAGGGCCACAGCTTCCTTCCCTTGTTTATGCTGATAATGGAACAACCTTCCCCAGCCAGGGTTACCACATGTTTTGGACAACAGCTCTCAGCCCCAGCTAATATGGCCAATGGTGAATAATGGTAGAACAACATCTCAGGGCACCAGAAGGGTCTACCAGACACTTCTGAACCAAGATGGGCCAGGAGGAGATAGGAGTGCTTAGTTGTGGACAAGAGCATATGAGATATAGTGGGCGTAACTGAAGCCTGGTGGAGTGGAGCACAGCAGTGTGGAATACAGCTATCCTGCTAGATAAAAACTATTTAGGAAAGATGTATAGGAAGTGTTCTGGTTCCAGGTGTTGGCGAGGGGTGGCTCAGTCAAGACACTTAACCCCCATCCTTTGAGAAGGTTGCAAGGATGTTGTTGCACGTTTCTTGGAAGAAGAGCAGGTTGCTGTCAGTGCCTGAAGATTCAGGGATGGAGGATTTAGGTTAAATATTGGGAAGATTTGTGTATGGGACTAGAATGTATACATTGCCCAGGGAAGTTGGGGGATACCTCCTGGAGATTTCCAAGAAAAAATTGGACAAGGCAAGGACTCCATAAAGGCCCCAATTCAGGGTTGGTGCTAACTGTCCCAACTCCCGTTCATTTCCCAACCGGGCAACATGTTTCTCAGAAAACGCCTCAATATTGCTGTACAGATTTCTGTAGTGAACTGTGTGTCTGGGACTTAGCTACAGAGATAATGGTTTGATGTATTCTAAAGGGTGTGCAGTTGCCGTGCAGATCAATGTTGAAACCCTCCTGACCAGTCTTTGTTGCTTTTCAGACTGTACAGCCCTGGGAACGACGCCACTTCCCACTGTCCTACAACCCCAAGACAGAGTGCGAGGACCAGTTGGATCCACACGACCGGGCCTCACGGTCCACACGGCGCACCTCCGGCAGCAAGCCTTCCCGGGAAACAGACGGAGCTCCCACCTCACCCACCCTCGCTTGCCTCAAGAGCCGGAATCCAGGGGCCGTGGCCACAGTTCAGCGGCCGACCCACAGATAAGAGATGGACAGGAAGATGAGAGCAAAAAGCAATCCACCAAACTAACTCTTGGCATTAAAGCTTCTGAAATCTGCGTTTGATATTCAAACATCCTGCCGGGAATTTTCACAGTTTTTAGTGAATTTAAGGAGTTTAGAAACTGTTTTATTTTTCTTTCTTTCTTTCCATGTTTCCTTGTCACGCACACCTTTTATCCAGTGCTGTGTGGTCTAATGAGGAGAGCAAACTTGTCTCCCTTTTCCCATGCTTTAGGTGTACACTCCACAAACAGGAGGGTGAAGCTGGCCAAGTGACCCCTGGAATTGGTTCTCTGGTGAAAGGCTTTTCTTTCTTTCTCCTTTTTTCTTTTTCTTCTGTTCGGTGTCTGTTCTCCTCACCTTACCACCATCACTGTGCCCCTCCCCCCAAGATTTTAGTGGAGTGAAATTAGTGGTGAAAAGTGACGTCTTCTGAGTACAACTTCCCTCACTATCTGTTTCTGCTCTTGGGCCGCAGTGGCACTAGAATGCACTTGCAATGCAAACTCTCCCTGAAGCTGCACCCAAAAGAGATGGCTTCCCACCTTGTGGGCTAGAAGAAGAAGAAGAAGAAGCTCTTCCCCTCCAGTTCCTTCACCCTGTGTTACATTTATTATTCCATTCTGCTGTTTGTTGCTGCTTTTCAGACCATCTCTCCATGTTAAAAGATTTGTACAAGAAAAGGCAATTCCCTATCAGTACCCTGGATGTGATTTTATTTTTTAAATCAGTTTTATTCAGCTCATACTGTGCTGCTTAATCCCTCCCCAAGTAGCAAGTTAGGAGCAGGGAAAAGGCTGTTAGCCCATTTAGATTTTTTTTGGGGGGGGTTGTCATTCTCCCCTCCCCTTTACAACGCTGTTAAGTTATTAACACTTCAGTATTCCCTTTTTAATTTTGCACTTTGCCCATTAGTCTGAAAGTTGCAGTAGGTTGTATTTCTTCTGCTGCTCAGTTGCAATACAGTAGTGTTAAGCCTTAAAATACTGAGAGGGATGTCAGCAGGATTCAGGAACTTGCCACCCCAGATTCACAAGCCATATTTTAGCAAGTGTCGTAAAATTCATTGTTTTCCCCCACCCTATATAGAAATATATGGTCTATGCATTGCTTGAGATTACATCTTATATTTTAAGCTATGTTTGAGTATCTAAATTGTTTTCAACTTTTTTTTCTGGAGAAAGATAGGACTTTGTTTTTCACCACTACTGCTTAACTCCACTTCCACACACCCCTTAGTTCAAAAGTAAACTTCTCCGTCAAGTTTTCTTTCCTCTTTCTCATAACTTCTTGGGCTGGCTATTGACAAGCTCAACAGGTTGGGAAATTTTAAAAATCACTTTGTTTTGTTTTTTAATTTAAAGAGGCCGTTCACATCACATCCCCAGTGGCTCCCAGATTCTGCACACCGATCCATCTGTAATGTTTTTCTGACCCCTAGCGGTGTGGCTGTTGGTCCCTGTCCTGTTGTTAGCATTGCGCCTGTCTTCTGTATTAATCACATCACCAAAAAAGGAAAAAAATACATTTTTTCTCATTTTGTAATCGTAACGAAATAGTAGCTAAACTGCTTAATGGTTGGGGTTTTTTCACAATTTTCAACATTACCTAATGTTTTTGGTTCTGTTCTAGTTAATTTCTTTTTAAGAAGAGGAAAAACCCAATGCTACCATATCCCTCTGCATTAAGTGCTTTTCTATTTATAAGGTTGAAAATTCTGAATAACCCTCTTAGCGTTATAAAGGAAAAATCCAGAAAAAAAACCACCTTGTATTTTGTAAATATTTCTTTTCCTGCTTCAAGCTGTGTAATGTCCTTGTTATATAGAAACGCTTTTCTTCAGAGAAGCTGATCTTTGTTTAATGTCTTGATTCTGTTGGCCAAAGCACAAATGTGTGCTTATAAAAAAAAAAAGATTAAAAAAATTAAAAAGTTAAGAAAACTGTGTGCTAAATCTCTTCTTTGGGAAATAACAGTTGAATGAGTGCTATTATTAGTGAGGATGCAGAGGTATCAATTGAAATTATCAAGGAATAAAAGCAAGCAATGGCTTTAAGAATGTGACTAAACTTTTAAATCATTTTTAAAATTTCTTTTTTGAAACTAGCATTTTCAAAGACAGGCTTTCTCCCAGAATATAATAAAATGGTGGTAGCTATGGTGCTGAGGTGGCCTAGTCCAGCAGCCTGGTTAGGATGCAAGCAGCTTTTTTTTGTTATGCTCATTACTGCCGCATGATTCCTGGAGAGTTACCCAAGGGTGAATACAGCCCTCAATACAAAAAGGTCTTGCCATGCCTATAGTGCTATAGAGAGGATGAGTGTCTTGTCCAGATGATAATTCAGCTTAAAGTGAATGAAAGCAAAAACAGGAATTCTGGAAGTACCATCTTCACAGGAACATTTTTCAGTTTAATAATGTGGTAAGAATTTACAAAGGCTTAAGTGTATGAAACTGGAACAGTGCTAACAAACATCTCCACCATATCTCTCCAACAAAGGCAAAGCTCGTTTAATATTGTAGTAATGAATTTTTTATTTCCAAATTCACTTTTACAGCAAGTCGGTGTAAACCAGTTGTTATAACACACAAGTACAATATGGACAGTCACAGACAGGTAGCTAAGCTAGGATGATCATATGGAGATCTTACTCCTTTCCCACCCCCTCCCACCCCGTTTCCCCACCCCCGTGAAACTTAAAAGGGAATTTGTTGGGTCTTCCAAACTCCATTGTCCCTTTTTCATACTTTCAAGTTCATGACAAAAAGCCCATTTTTTTTCCTCTTTAACTTTCAAAACCATGATTTTCATCTGTCAAATTTTAACACTTTTCCAACCCCCTAGATATGTATATTTATATACCAAGACAAGACACCAGCCAGTCAATTCAACATGGCCCTCGATTGGAACCCTCATGGGTCTAACCCTCTATAAAACTGATGCCATTATGCATCCTAAAATGAGCCATAAAGACAATCAAAATCCATGTTTGAAAACAGATATTATGACTTAGGGAGATGGCTAAATTTGGGGTGGGGAAAAATAACTCATAATGTTTCAATGGTTGATCCTATGCTTGGGGAAGGGGAAGATTTGAGCAGTGAAATAAATGGATGAAGGCAAGGGCTGTTAATATTCAGGAGAGTCAGGGAGTCAAATGATCTCAAATATAACTTTGTGTTTGTTTTTGTTGCTTCATACTGAATGAAGACAGCTATTGTTTTATTTACAGCTTAAGCCAATACAAAAACTGACAGATGACGCTTTTCCAGCCCTAGCTCAATCCCCTAATGCAAACAGAAAAGAATCTGTGACATGGTATATGCGCTCAGTGGGAAAAATCTCACATTTGTTCACTTCAGGCATATTAATCTTCCTCACATCCTAAAGTAATACAACTGCAGGCTTTATTTTTAAATACAGTATCATAGAGTTATTGGAAATTGTTGAAAGGTGACCAATATGCTGATCTGTCTGAAGAACCCTGGCTACCGCATTGGTACTGCAGTACAGTGATATAGCCAACAAAGTAACATTCTTGAACCCAATCGGTTCCTCTCCCATGCTATCCCATCCTCCATCTTAGTCACAACTTACTCAACTTTTTTTTTTTACTTCATTCCACAAAATACTTTTGCTTACAGAAACAATGGACAATCTATACTTCCCAACAATTAGTTGAATTTTTATCCATGGCTCAAAACAATAAGCAAGCAAAGGCAGCAACAGACTTTACAAGGTGGTACTCCTAAAGCAGAAAGCCTTAGTCCCGACTCAGCCTAACAAGGACAAAAACACATGCACACAGCCCATCTTCAAGGTGTCTTATCTCACAAGGAATGTATTAAGTTTAGCAACCGGCATCGGCTTAAAATTGAACACCGCATCAGACATTTTCTCAGAAAAACATGCAAAGAAAGTTTTTAAAGATTTTTCTTCTCACCACCACTTAGAAATAGAAGCCCGCTTTGCAAGTTTCCCCCCCAAATATTCTCTACCACTTTGGGGGGTTTTTTTTGAGCAGCTGCAGTTTCCACAAACATTCCTCCAATATCCTTGAATGCCTAGGTCTGTGGCATTGTACAAAGGCTGCTCTGGCTAGGGTACAGAAGATGTGTTTCACAATGGTGTGGGGTTTTGGAATAATTATGTGGCAGCAGTGGGGCTGTGGCCTTCCAGCTGCTGCTGGTCTATTGCTTCCATTATTCTTGACCATTTACTATGCTGGCTTGGGCAGATGGAGAGTTGAGTCCACCATCATATGGAGGTGCGGAGCCAGTAGCTTTTCAGAAGAAGGTAGCCTTGACTCCCTACCAGTCCCCAGCAACATGGTCAATGATCAGGGATGATGGGAGCTGTGGACTAGCAGAACCTCCAGTGCCACAGATTCCCCACCTCAGTACAAAGACAGATGCACGTGTTGGGTAGCAAGACTATTTGAGGAAATGGAGAGAACAGGAAGAGGAAATTCCTAATCACTCTGAGCACTGTCCTCCCAACTCTACAGTTCTGTGATTCTAATTCTGCATGCTATGATCCTTATCTGTTGCAGAATCTTCTGCACCCATGACATGGCACCTGGTTCACTTAGAGGCTGCCACCCAGTCACCAACAACCACCATCAGTTTGGCAAACTCAGATAATATACACCTTGCCAAGCTTTAAATACTATGCTGTAAACCTACACGACAGTTCCTTATTGGACCTAGCTCTGAGGATCAGGCCTATGTTGCCATATTTGTGAACTTACTGTTAAAAAGCCATGTGTGCTACCACCAATTTGAGATTCCACCCCCCACCCCTTCTTCTTGGGTTTGTGTGTTTTGTTTTACTTAAACCATCTTATCCTCTCACTTGGAAATTTCCAAACACATCCAGACAATTCCAACTGTGTAATGTATGAGTGGTGGTGGGACTGCCTTATAAAATCTGTGTTATTTACAACCGTTCATGCAATAGATTGTGTCATAATTCTAATAGGAGCTCTGTTGCTGTTCGGTGTTTCAGGTAGTACTCCAATAAACTAGGCTATGTTTTGCAAAGCCTGTGTTGCTTGGGAACTTACATCTGAAGGATGGAAATTTGAGAGGGCAGGGGAGAGAGAAAGATTCTATCAGATGATAAAGGCAGTGGCAGGGAGGAATAGCCATTCACAAAAGGCAAAGTACTCTCTGCAATTAAAGTAGTTTCACTTAGCCTAGGTAGATGCACAGCTACAACTCGTACCATAAATGTTTTTTAAACAGCAAGGGGGGGGAGGGTTTGTTAAGGACGACCCTGGAATCTGTACTACAAATGCAATTAGTCTTCCAACTTTGACAGGTGAGGGAAAGAGCTCTTTCTGCTAGTATGATAGCTTCTTCAGCCAGTACACATATGCAGGTTATGTTCAGAAACAGTCATTATTCAGACACTTCTGCACAGTGTGCTAGTTTTGGACTCTTCCCCCTCCCCCACCTGTGAAAACTTGAATTCTCTGGCACCTTTTCAAAAAATATGGGAAATAGATTCCTGCTGGCTGCATTGTGCTGTAGGTTTCCCTTGGAGCATGCACACCCAAGTTTGGGGACTTGTTCATACTACATGAGCAATGCTTGATTACTCATAACTGAAAGGGTGAACAATCTTCATGGAAAAGTATTGGAGGTGATAATGAAACCTTTTGGTGTCTATGATTTGTGATGCTTCTTCCACACATGCACGTACTGAGGAACAAACATGCATGCGATGAAGAGAGCATCAGATATATGCAACTATTATGAAAGACTCTTGATTCTAAAAGGTGCACCTATTCCCACATGCACGCCCTTCCAGGAAGTTACCCTTCTTCCCCCATGCACTTGCACTTAAGTGCACCTATCTCATTTAACAAAAAACCCTAGAACCACACCTCTACCTCACAAATTTCTACGTACAACCACAATTTTGTTATGAAAACCAAGAGAAACTGCCATGCTTATCGGACTGAACACAAGGAGCAAATCTGAAGCCCACAAACCTCCTTGCTCCCCTCCCCCAAGAACGCCTACCAAGTCCTTTGAGCCAACCTGCAAATGTTACGGCAAGAGCAAAGAGACGGGCATGGAACTTGTGGCATTTTTTAGGCTGGAAAGATGAGAAAGAAGGCAGGCAAGTGGAAGAGGGGAGAAAAGTGGTAGTAATAGTCAAATAGTATGAAAATTTGCTTTTAATGTCCCTACATTTGCAAAAACAGTGTCCCCAAAGGAGAATCGCATGAGGCAAGCGTCACCTTGCTCCTCAGTATGCATCATTTGAACCATAGTTGAGGGAGCTGGCAGGATTTCAATGCTGTTTGCTCTTGTAATTCAAAGGTATCAGGCCAATGCATTGGCCCTTGCATGCAGTGGTATGGCTCTAGTCAAACCCCATTCAAGAAAACTTAAAATAAAAGGCATATGCCTGTGGCAAATTGGGCATTTGCCCCCTTCCCAGCATAGAAACATGTCCCCCTGCAGAGATGAGATTCTGAAGACTAATTCCCTGAGGACTGAAGTAGGGGATATTTCACACTGCAAATCCTGTGTATGCAGTTGATATCTGCTTTAGACTTACACTATCACACATACCTGTAACAAAATGCAAAACAGCAGGTGTTCTTGAAGAAGGTTACTAAACAATCCCACAGCAATATAGGCTCTTTTCTCTGTTCATGGGGACAAACTTGGTTAGCTGCTGCTCATCGACAGAGGCAGATACCTACCCTCTTTCTCAAGCTTATATCTTATGCAGCACAAAGTTTCCTAACAATTACATTTCCTTTTGTTTAGGAGCAAGTGGTGAAATGATGTCTTTCTCTAGACTGAGATATAGTAAGAAATCTTTGTTTTCACACTGTTACTAATTTTGAAATCCTGAGACCACAGATGAATAAATGGCAAGGGGGACAGGGAACCAGGTTAAAAGAGTTAGCCCATTAATATAAAAAACGAAATAAATTAAGGAATGGTGGGGAATGAAGATGTAAAACGGAACAGAGGAAGAAAGGCCAGAGTGGATTCTTCTCTTCTTATTCTCTCCACCCACTTTAACACAATCACAAGCCCTGCTTGGCCAGGGAAGCAGACACTTCATCGGCCAATGTGGCCAGCTGTGGGGAGTCCACCATGTTGATGCTTCCAGTGGAGGAGACGTTGCTAAGGCGCCGTGGGGAGGCATCTCCAGATACAGTGGGTGATTTGTAGACAATTTCAGCTCCATGGTCAGTCTTGGCTTTGGCGTTCTCACGAAAGGTCAGCTTGTGGCTCTCAATCTGGAATGAGAGACATCGGCAGGTAAGGACAAGAGAGCAGGACAGGGAAAAGTGGAGGGGGTTGATGCTGTTTTCCCACCACCCACTTCAGCTATACCTTCACTAGCGTTTGACTGGTATGCCAAAGTGGTTCGTTCAGCCGCAGCTCCTCTTCTCCCCATCGCCGCTGCTTTGGCAAAACACTGATGTATGCTCAGAATTAGGAAAATCCAGGCTCTCAGTTTTTAGTGTGTTGTTATAAGGGCAGTCCCACTCATTTGCTTGGCTGACATTTTTTTTAGTTAAAAATAATAAATGATATCCATGTTTCCTTGATCTAGGAATCCTACATTGCTTCATACAACCTATAGACAGAAGTTGTATGCAAACTGTGTGCTATGAGCCTATGAAATGGAACATACAAAAATGTCAACTTCTTTCAAAAGCAGCTTCTCCCAGAATTGTACTACCATGTTATGAAAAGGTGACCTATCCAAATACATTTATGAATGTTTTCAAGCAAAGAAGTCGAGTCTCCTATCAAACTGGGCATCCCTTATCTTGAAACCATGCCAGATGAAAGATCCCAGCAGCCAATAGATTGCAGAAAGGTGAGATGGTGATTGAGGTCTGATAGTCCAAAATATTTTTAAAGTACAGGGTTTTTTTCCACATTAGGCTGCTAGGGTTAGTACAGAACATCAGGTTTTCAATCTAACAAAATCAGAGAAAACTAGTATGATGCCTTCCCACCCCACACCCTCCAAGCTCTGGGTATCTGATTCCCATCTAGCTCTCACAAAGCTCATGAGAACAGGTAACTACTTACTGGCATCACATGGGTGCAAGTCGGGGAGTGGGCTCTCCTCAGGGATGGAGGGCTCCGTGATGGGGGAAGGAGGCCCAGTCTTATTGGGGCAGTTTTGAGCACCGTTCGTGTCTTCCTTGCCCTTCTCTCTCTGCATGTGGGTGGAGAAGGTCAGTGGGATGCAAAATAGCATCGTCAAATAAGATGACATGAAACCAAAAATCTTCAATGGGGAGGGAGGGACATATAGAATTGGAGGAGGACAGAGCATCAGGAATATAACTGCAGTGTGCAGAAGAAGGTACAGGAGCCAGAGGTGGAGAATGCAAGAGCTAGCGAATAAAGATGGTGTGCACTCCGATATGTCTCATACCACTCAATAGATGGCTGGTGAATTTTGCCATTGTCAGTCGACAGAGGAGTGGAACATACAGGCATGGGTTAACTCCTCTTCTGGAAAGCAGGGTCAAATGATTTTTACCAAAAATTAATTCTAGTGGGGAAGAAAGCTTTGTCCAATTTCCAATCTTAACTCTGCCTTCACAAAAAAAGCAGGGTTAATTCTTGCCTTTGTATGTTACTGTTGTCGCCATAGGTGCCTTCTTAAATAAAAAAATTAGATCTTCTCAGAAGGCCTTAACTTTGACACAACCTTTATCCTCTGGATCTCCTCTCTCATTAGCCAGAAGTGCTGAGGAGGTGGATGGAGCTTGCACCTGGGCCCTCCTACTCAACTCCCTGCTTAAGTGCTAAGGGCTCTGCAGAGGAAAAAGAGCTCCATTTACAGCCTTTGGGCCACTACATTAGAGATAGCCAGGAGTCTTCCCAGACCCCTAAGCAATCCCAGGAACACCAGCAAATGATCAGGGGTAGCTGGGGTCTTATGCAGACCCCCATTCCACAGTTGTAGAAGCAGAAGTCTTTAGAGGCGTGGGTATCTAGAGTCTACATCCCCCTCCTCTTTCTTATCAGGTGGCGACAGCAGGGTTTTTTGCTTAAAGCAACAACTTATTGTGAGATGAAGTTATATAGCTTGGTGATGGCTGGTGCAGGGATGCTACTAAAGCAGAGGACCTCTGTAGTGTTTTCCATATTTTTTACAGTTCACAAGAAAAACAGATGCTCACACTTCATTAGCAGAATTCGTTATCACAGGAAAGGATTCCTTCTAGATGCCCTGGCTGTCTCAGGGCACAACTACAGAATGGTCACCAAGCCTGAGCAGATAGCTAATATAATAATGGAACTATTCCAAAGTTTAAACTTGTCTCTTGGGGAGGGGAATCAGTGGGGGAGAGAACAGTGCTATTCCTGACATTAAACCTTCTCACTCTCATGAATTCTCTGCCCTCTTTAACTATGTTCATCACGCTGCTTGCCATTCATGGACTCCTCTTCCTGTGCCTGGAGCATAGGTCCATCCAAGTGGGTCAAAAGTCATACTTATGCTCACAGTGCCTGCAAGGGTTTCCTTCTCTGATACGCTACAAAAGCCCAACTGTGGTCCAGGAAATGCAGAAAAAGAAGGGAGAGGGGGAGTGAAAAGAGGTGGATGCTCAGATGTGTGAATGACACTGAGAGAAGGATAAGGAAGCGGAGAAGTTCCTCCATCAGAAGCCAGCACATTCACTGGAAGGAGCCAATGAGAGCTAGAAAGGTTTCTAAGGCTACTAAAATGAGATGCGTCTGAGAGGAAGGGGCTGAAATGCATGTGAGTAGAGCCTCCCTCCCCAAGACAGGCACAACAGATGAGGCAAATACAAACAAACAAACAGAATTAACTGGTATACGTGAATCACTCTCCAAATGGGGTTTCAAAACCTATGATGCATCCCTGCTGATAGCTCCAGGGCCTTTTGTGCATAAGCTGCCTGAACTGGGTTGCCAATTTATGAGGAAAAATAACCCAGTCTAGACTGCTCTTGTGCTTTTAACAGCAGCTTGATACACAGAAAGCAGCGGGCAAACCTTTTCATAGCATGGAAATGAATATCACCACCTGTTAATGTTTGTACATTCAGCCACTATTAAAGGCACACATATATAGGCCAGCTGAAAAGCTGGCAATCCTATTCTGAAGTGGAATGATTTAGGGACTTGATATTCCCAGATGCACAGTAAGCAGGCAAGCCTGGTCCAAGGAAAACAGCTAATTGTGCAATTAACTTCTAAGTATATTATATGACCTCAATGGGGAAGGTCCGCCTTAACAGAATTACTGTGCTGATTCATCATTTTATCAGTCTTTCTGGGAGGACCACTCCAGTTGGCAGTATTTGCATCCTATGGAGGGACCAACAGAATAGGCTGCTCTGCCACATTAAATATCTCAGCAACCTGGATATCAGCAATATGTGAGCAGGTAATGGCAATGGGTCCTTTCTTTTTAAACAAAAAAAAGTTGAGAGAGGCCTTCTTAGAGCAAAGCAGGGGCTTTGTGAAATTTTAAAAAGGCCTCAAGTGTACCTTATGAAAATGATATCTAGACCACAGCATCAGACATCAGTCTTGACTGTAGTAGCAAACATAGCCAAGCAAGCAAAGACCCCTCCTCCTCCTTGCTCCATTTGAAACCTTTGCCTCCCTCTGGGCGCATACAGACGTACCTAAAAATGGCAGCCGACATGTTAATTTCTCCAGTGATGTGAGCCTGGTTTTCCCCTCCTTTATGCTGCAAATCAACAGGCATACTTACCTCCATTGTAAACACCGCATTCCTTGCTGCCCCTTCCCCATGCTTTAGACTTTCTGCTTTTTTTGAAAAATTATGTAAAGCACCAATGATATAAAGCTGTGTGATTAAAGGGGAAACTGAACTTACCGTGAAGCTCCCTCTGTTTAATCAGTAGGATCGCTGGCTAGAAAGACTAACTTCTCCTGTATCTCCAAAGGCAAGGCCAACCTAACTTATATCCCTAGTTGGAGAGGAATTTCCTTCCAAGATCTTGGCAGACAGCAAATGCACTCATTAAAGAAACAGTCTACAAACAGGCAGGCTCATTAAACGCACTCATTAAAGAAACAGTCTAGCAACAGGCATGCTCACTTGAGGAAAAGCTGGAAACACCAAAGCATGACAAAAGGAACTAGGAGTGAGAAAAGGGAAGGAGGTCTCTGATGTAACATGCTGCCGCCCCATGCACGCATCACCTCCCCACCCCCCACACTGTGCTTGCCTGACCGCCACACCAGTAAGTCTGCCCACCAACCTACCAATTAACAAGCGGGAACACCCAACTTCCCTTTCTCATTTAGTTTAGCCAGGAATCACAAGTTGGGAGAATGGTTGTATTCAGGGCCTGCTTGCAGCTTCCCACGGGCACCTGGTCGGCCACTATGGGAATGCAATGCAGCACTAGATTCAGCAGGGCTCGGCACAAGACACTGCAGTGAGTCCGTTTTTGCTTCAACACTCTTTTCTCCAAACTTAGCAACTGGTTTGTCTGGCAATAACATGATGGCAATGCTTTCAGAGCCCACAAGCTTTGTTTTTAGGTATGTCTGTACGCACCCCCAGGTGCCTCTTGGAGAGTATGGAAGGACAGAATTCTTCTGAAGGGCAAGTCCTACCCCACTTCAGCCATCATTGTGGGCAGCTGCTAAGGAACTAACCACATGTTATGTACAAACATGCTTTAAACCTCCGGGGGGAGGGGCGTGTTCAGTGTGGGGGAAAGGGCTGAACACTCCTTCCCACACTATTTTTCTGCTCTCAATCACCTCAGCTTGGAGAGGGGAAGATCAGCATCCCAGCACCAATAAGTGATTTTGCACAACACATAGTTTAGTCTCTGAGGCAGCTCTCTTTTTTGGAACAAAGTGGAGAATGAAGCTAAGCAATTACCCCTTTGCTGTTAGTCTGGCAAACATAATAGATATTTAGTAGGCATTAGAGAAGCATACAGAAAATGCATGGGGAAAACAGGGGACTTAAAAAACAAGGTTCAAAGCAGCAACAGAGACTGATGGGGAGCAGGCTTGAGAAAGATGCTGCTACCTGTTATTACCTTGATGAGATTTTCCCCTCATGCACAGAAAACAGCAAGAGGAAGAATGCTTACCTTTTTATTTCCTCCTCCAGGCATATGGGTGATGTTGTCTAATGACCCAATTTTTGATTGCACCTTATCTTTGAAGTCCAGTTTCTCAGATTTCACCTCCACCTGCCCACCACCTAGAGGACAAATAAAGGCAGGGTTAACAAATATATATAAAAAAGTGTGTGTACAATATTTGGAGAAAATAATGTCATGGATTTGGCCTGTTATCCTCAGAGTTTAGCGCAAGTAAATAATAAATTCTACAGCCTAGAAAGCAATAAACAAAACCCAGTAAGTTCACACAGCAGAAGGCAAGTTCCACACAATTTGCAAATATACTTTGATCTCATAAAACTGATCAAGTTTTACTACATGTCCATGCTCCCTTTCAGCATTAGAAGTGGAAGCAGTTGGTTCAGAATAATGCCAGCTGAATGAATTGCAAAATAGTGAAAAAATAATGAAATACTAGCAGGCAAGAGCTAAAAGAAAAGAAGAGGATGTTGGGTTGGATGAGCTTGAGAAAAAATTATCTTGGATCAACTTGGTGGATGCTCAGTGTGTAAGCTACTGCTATAGAGAAGAAATATTGTCAGGTAGGAGTTTTGTTTGCCACCTGTCACCAGTATGTGGCTTGCTCACTTGACTATGCAACTCAGTTGTATAGAAAGTAAATGGCAACAGTTGAACATGCCACTATAGGGTGTACTTTAAATTAGATGCTAGCAAGCTTATATGTACCTAATATACCAAGGTGATAAATACCATCAACAGTCTGATGAGACCCACTCTTTAAAAAGAGTCCCCTTTTCTCTCCCTCCCTCCCTCCCTTTCTCTTTCATGGCCTCCATCCATAGGACCAAAGGAAGCAACAAAAGGCCTTATCAATTACATTTGCAGGTAGACTGTGCCTGCTGCCAACTGGCTTCTGTACCAGCCGGTTGGACAAAATAGCTCAGAGAGCACAAATGTATGTACTAACGTGTGTGTTAGATGGTTGCCCCCAATAGGCCTGTATGCATCTGCTGTGGCATCCAGATTTCTTCAACGTCCCCCCCCCCAAGCAAATTTACAGCAGAATGTATACAGGCAGAGGACTCAAGTCCATGAACCATGCCTAGGAAGGGCTTCCAGAGATCAAAGATCTGATAAAGCATGTTTGCCTCTGTAGGAGGGCTTTTGGAGGCATGCACATGAAATTATTAAGTAAGGTAAAGGTAAAGGGACCCCTGACCATTAGGTCCAGTCGTGACCGACTCTGGGGTTGAAGTGCTCATATCGCTTTATTGGCCAAGGGAGCCAGCGTACAGATTCCGGGTCATGTGGCCAGCATGACTAAGCCGCTTCTGGCGAACCAGAGCAGCGCACGGAAACGCCGTTTACCTTCCCACCAGAGCGGTACCTATTTATCTACTTGCACTGGCGTGCTTTCAAACTGCTAGGTTGGCAGGAGCAGGGACCAAGCAACGGGAGCTCACCCCATCGCAGGGATTCGAACCGCCGACTTTCTGATCGGCAAGTCCTAGGCTCTGTGGTTTAACCCACAGTGCCACCCACATCCCTATTATTAAATACTAACCCATTAATCATTAATATATTAAGTTTATAATAACCTAAAAAGTTATGCAACTATGTTATCTTGGTCATGCATCTAGGCTTTTCTAGAATAACCCTGTGAACCAAGAGTTGACAAAAATCATGTAGGTGATCAATTCCAATATTTTGCAAACATTTCTCTCTCTCAGACAGAACTTAGTACAGTGGTACCTCCGGTGGCACACGGGATCTGTTCCAGAGCCACTTCTGCGCATGCGCACGACGAAACCCAGAAAAATACTGGGTTTGCTGCACACGTATCCCGAAGGATATGTAACTGGAGGTGAACATAACTAGAGGTACCACTGTAGAGGCAACCATTACATGGGATGCAGACTATCTTTTTTTCATTTCGCAGTTGTAATTACTTCTTCTTCTACCTATCATTGTCCTTCTTTCCCTCCTTTCCCCTTTCCTTTGTCAATGTCTGCAAAAAAGCAGAATAAAAAAGCTATTGGGTCCCACCCCCTTTAGAAGTCCAGTAAGAAACTGTTGTTTTTTAAAAAACATATATAGTCACCATCACCTGGTTTATGATGAATGTTGTCCAAGGAACCACATTTAGACGTTATGTGGCTGAGATCCACTGGCTTGTAAACAATTTGTACCTGTGAGGACAAAATTAAAGAAGTGCACAGAGTGTTTGGGGCTGGAATTTATTTCAACTTGAAAAAGAATGTCTCCCCAAGATATGCAGAAAAAGTGAGACAGACGACACACTGGAACCCAACTGGAGAAGAAATGCAGTTTGAAAAGCTGTCTAAAAGTTTAATCATTCAAGCACAGGCAGAAGGAGAGTTTTCCACCAGAAACTGTGAAGTCAAAGCACGCGTTGTAGCAAAATCTCCCGCCAAAGGCATGCATACTTTTTCTTTGATTGATTTTATGAAATTCAAAGAAAAGTAACAAGGATCATCATATAACAGGAAAAGTAGATTGGATGACATATTTTTGTAACCTGAGTTTCCAAAAGCTTTAGAAAAAATATACCTCTCTCTTCCCTTGTTTCTAACATAGTTGTTATTTTAAGCATACCTATATTCCAGAGTCTCAACTTTAGGAATTCATTTTCATTTTAAGTTAGATGAGATTCCAACTGCTGTAGTTATTCATAATAAATCTGTTCTATATATTTATATTTAACCTTTCTGTTCAAATATTTTAATAATTTAAAAATATAATCAGTTGTTCAAAAGGTAATGAAAAAGACATTTCTTTTATACTTGCAAGCATTTTTATCTAAAAAGATTTTAAATGTCCAGCAAGATCACCACATGTGGCTATAGTCAACATTATCCTTATTGCATTTCCACAGCATGCACAAACTCTTTATCACACCTCCAGAGGAAGGAGGCGGGAAAGCAATGGAACGGAAGATGCTTAAGTGAGACAGGGAGAAAGGGGTGAGCAGACAGAGGTATAATCAAATAAGATATGCTACAGAGAAAATATAAAAAACCAGAAACAGAATTAAATACCTTTTTCTGATGTAAAACTTAAGGTTTATGTCCACAAAAACTGAAACAACAGAAATAGTCAATGTGCATTGAAAGGGTTGATTTTTTTCTAAAAGGATCTTTTCAAAATGTTGCAACAGAACAAAGGTATCTGAAACAACATGGAGACTGAAACCATACTGTGGAAAAGATTTGTTTTTTCCAGAAATATTTTCTTAAAGCATGCATTCACAGCAAGAGTGAAACTTCCGATGAAATTTCATCAAATTCGCTTATGTCTACCCAGCCCTCAAAAATATGCACTGAATTTTCAGAGCTTCATTTGGATATGATGAATACCATCACAGAATTTGGATGTGTAATATTCCTTGCTTTGAATTAAAAAATAATTACAATCACAGCACAATTGTGACACATTGAACCATTTCGCTTAAATAGTGATCTATGCAGTACAGGGAGAGGAATACTAAGGTATTTAAACAAAGCATTTCTGAACCTTTGAATGGCATACACAAGCTAGCAAGTGTACAACATGCACAAAAGGTACAGATAAAATTGAATTAGTGGTTATTGGGTTACAAGCATTAATGACATTGTGGGAAGGAATACAATCTGACTAGAGGCAAATGGTATTCAGGGTTTCTTGTGGGCTGTAGGTGGGGCAGTATCTTCCTAGTTTATCCCTGTGCAGTTTGCTGAAAATCAGACTCGATGTCAAAGTGCCTGTCATCCTCTCAGCCACCAGGCAAATGAAAGTTCAGCATTTAGAACTGCAACCTGCAATGGCTGAACAGGTTGCAGGGTAAGCCTCTCAGACAACAAGCATTGTTTTATCTGATGGTGGTACCTCTTCCAGGCCCCTGAACTTGAACTTACAGCTGCTCACTGGGCACTTTCATCCTGCTTCCAGTCATCCAAAGCAGTATTTTAGAGGTCTCAATTCTCAGTGGCCCTTTCCATGTTGGGCTTGGAAAGACTACTCAGAACCGTTAGAATCATTTCTGGATTCTCACCTACATCCAGAACATCCTGGAACTGAGAAGCCATCTTGTACAAAAAAGAACATTGGAGTTCAAATGGGAAATCTCCAGTAAACTGGGGGTTAAAGGTAAGGTTTCCAGAGGTGCTTTATTCCTCCCAGCCAACACCTCTTTTTAAGTTTTCTGGGACCACACCTACCTGCAGGAGGCTTTTACCACTCCCATCATGCAATTCTAAAGTTCCCCTCTAGAACCTCTTGTTAGTGAAGAAGGCCAAAGATGAAGCATACAAGGGCTTGACCTCAGTTCTCCAATTCTATGTATCTTATTAATGGTTTTTTTTCTTTTTTAACAAAAGTAACTCAAAACAACTTACAACAATATATGACACATACATTAAAACCAACATAAAACAAAGAGGAGATTAAAAAAAATAATCATGTCCACATCCAAAGGCTGTACAAATGGGAAAGTATTCAAAACAAGCAGATACCAAAATTCCTCTGTTGACTCTGCCTTAACTGTAGGATCTAAGTCAGAATGGGTAAAAACATTTCTGCCCACGAAGGGTCCAGAATATTGGTCACAGCGAGCTACCAAGTTGCCTCCTATCTGTAGAAGAATCAAGCTTTAACAGCCCTTTGACTGCGATAAAGTGCCGGAACAGTTGGCAAAATAGTGATGGAATAGTGTGGCCACAAAGTAGACTGTACTAGGCACACTAATAGTCTATACTGCAGTGTTTCCCAACCTTGTGCCTCCAGCTGTTTTTGGACTACAATTCCCATCATCCCTTGCCACTGGTCTTGCTAGTCAGGGATGATGGGAGTTGTAGTTCAAAAACAGCTGGAGGCACAAGGTTGGGAAACACTGGTCTATAGTACAGTATCTAATCTGTTGATTAGATTAAATGCAAGTCTACTATTACTACCACTTTACAAGTCACCCCATTGGTTCACTCCTTCCAACTTCATAAATGAAGAGGCTAGCTCAGCTCCCTAAAGAGAGGAAGGGCACTTGGGGTGCATCAAGCCCCTAGCCTCATGAGGCCTTCAGCAGGATTGCCCAATTCGGGTGAAAGGAAACTCTTCCCAAAAGCCATAGAAAAATCATTTAGGATCCATCAGTCTCCTGGAGCAGGCTGTCCTGATAGGTCTTCCAACCATCCTGAGATCTGGGATCCCACCAATCTTTTTAAAGATGAGTCTAAACTATCCTGAACATCTCAAAGATTCCTCTGTAAACATCTTTCTCCTATCGTATTTTTTAATCTGTTTGCATTTGGTGAAAGCTGTGACGGAAGGAGAGATATTTTGGTATGCATTGTTGAGCACAGTATGAAAAGCACCCAGTGGGAAATCAGGAATTTGTGTTGTGTAGCTTAGTGCTAGAATGAACACATATATAAGGTACAGGGTGGGGAAATAGATAGGAAAAAGTATCAGGAGAGACCACACAAACAGGCACCTGTTTTCTCTGCCTTTGTTCTATAGTAGACCCTTCTTGCATATGCATCTCAGGAGGCTCTTCAACTCAACCTTGTCACAAAACGTGCAGCCTGTCTTCCTAGTTCAGCACATCTTAAGCATAGATCAGTAAAAATCTGCTTATATTTGATATAGAAGTCAGCTCAACTCTGTATTTTGCTAGGCAAACTGTCTTCATCTGAGAGCACATTTCCATCTTGCCTGCCAAGGTCAATAGGTTAGACTTAATGTGTACTAGATAGAAATGCAGTAATTGTTTTGCACAGAATCCACATCCAGTATCATAGCACAGGGAAGTAATGATACCTATAAACCTATTAATCACTGTGAATCAGATCTAAAACTCTTCAAGATCCAAGTGTCTTTGTAATGTCTGAATTGCTCCAAATAAATCACATGGACTTATCACATAAATCCCAAAGAAGCATTTTCAATAAAAGGGGAGCAGCCTAGGCTTTTCCTGGGGTGATCCAATTTGTCCATGTTTTGTAAACAAAGAAGTCTTTGCTCTCTGACTCTAAAAATAGAACAAGAACGCCATTCTATTGCCTTCAACACCAACCCCCAGGATGGTGTATTGCAGAACTATTTTGGTGTTTACTATCTCATATGTCAGGTGTCTTTTTTTTCCAGATTGACACTGAAGAAAACTTTCCCCTACTTAAGAACACTTTTGGGTTTTGCTTTGGGATATTGCAAATTTAGCCTAAGCTCACATAAACCTCCATCAATAGGTGAGTTTATATACATTCATTTTAAATTACAATGAGGTTTACAAAAATTAAGATAAGTAAAATAATAAATACACTTTATTGTGCAGGGTGTGGTAGCCTCAGACTATAGCTCTCATCAGCTTCATGCAGCACAGCAAATGCCCACAGAGCACTGAACAGATGGCTTAGAATAAAAGCACTAGGAACTAGTTCCTGTGCCTGAACACTAGGGGTGTTATTCAACTAAGCTTTACTCAGAGTAGATCCACTGAAATTAATGAACACGACTAAGCTAGAATTGACTATACAAATAGCAGTGCTGTTGCAATTTTCTTTCCTCTTCCAAATGCTAGTTACTGAAAGATCTTCCTCCAAATTTGAAAAAGGCAAAAAGGATTTTTTAATCCGCAATGAAAATACATCATGGCTTCCTCTAAGCATGATTTATAAAAGAAATGGCAGAAAAAAATTGGGAATGCCAACATTAAAAGCATAATATACTTTTGCAGGTTCCTTATGTAATGTGGAAATCCAGTCTCCAAGCACAAGTGCCCATGCAACATCTGCCTTCATCTAAGCCCTCTGTGCACTCCTTTTCTTCCCCAGCTACTCTTTGCAATATTCACAAACCGTACAAACAATTCTGATGTGCAAACTTATTTGGAGATGGCCAACTTTGCTTAAAAGCCTTCCTAACTTATAGGGCACCTATAGATAGGTACATTAAACAGTACAACAGCAAGCTGGCCTAAGTGCAACACATAATGTGTTCCTTACTAATCTTGAATGGAGCTGTAGCCCTTGAAAGCATTTCAGGTTTTCTTATTAAAATATAAATTTCTTTATAAAAGCTAGCTCAAGATGAAATTTATTCACTGCAGACTAGTGCATAAAATAAACCCTGCTGGTCTGATATGTCCCACAATTATCTTGGCTGACAAAACAACATGAAAACATCAACACAAGGGATGTGGTAGGATACAGTCATACCAACACCAAGTCAAAAGAGTCAAATTGTTTAAACAAGGCAAACCAATGCACCAAACTAATTTGAGCACGTTATGTACACTTGTGAAAGTATGTGGAACTTGTTCTGAATACAGGCTACAAGCCTTGTACATATTCCTTATTGCTTTGAAAAACATACCGGGTGACATTAATTGAGAGGATGCTCATCTGGTTTGCAGATGACACAAAACTGTGATGGGTAGCTAACGCTACAGAAGACAATTGGGATTCAAGATGACCTTAACAGATTGGAGAACTGGGCTCAGACTAACAAAATGAATTTCAATAGGGACAAATGTAAGGCTCTACACAGGCAGGAAGAAACATCTGCACAGATATAAAATGGGAGACACCTGGCTTCATAGTACGTATGAAAAGGATTTAGAGATCTTAGCCTGGAAAAGAGAAGACTGGGAGGAGAGATGCTAGCCATCTTCAAATATCTAAAGGGCTGTCACATGGAAGATGGAGCAAGCTTCTTTTCTCCTGCTTCGGAGGGTAGGACCTGAACCAATGGCTTCAAGTTACAAGAAAGGAGTTTCTAACTAGACACCAGGGAGAACTTTATAATGGCTAGGGCTGTTTGACAGTGGAACAGACTCCCTGGGAAGGTGGTGGACCTCCCTTGGAGGTTTTAAAGCAGAGGCTGGATGGCCATCTGTCATGGATGCTTTAGATGAAATTATTGCATTGGACTAGATGACTCTCAGGGTCTCAACTCTATGATTGCATGATGTATTCTTTGATGTGTCTGTGTTAAGCACATGACTGTATTACATGCTCCTAAATGTTTGACCTGGAAGCTCAAATTCCAGCACCTTCAAAACTCAGCCTTTAGAAAGGCACTTTTCTTCTTGTTTGCAGAGGAATGCTTAGAAACCAGAGTTGGGCTGGGCTGGTGTGCCAGTGATCAGCAGACAGAGCTTGTGTGTCATGTGCTTACTCTCAATTTTCCCTCCTTCTAATAGCAAACTTAGAAATGGAGCCAGAAGAAGAGGGCCACTGAGAGACAACAAAGAGGTACCAGTCTGCTTAAGAGAATCCTGAAGTTCATAGAAGTACAAAAGAAAACCATTTTTCTAACCAAGAGGGATAGCACCCCACCCAACTGGCACAGTAAGCACCAAGTATGTTTAGTGGTCACCAGAACCTATTGAACATTGCATATCAGTTGTAAAAACAAAAAATCACAAAGTGCAGGGGAAGAGTGAATTGGCTTGCTTGAGCCCCTAACAGCTTATACTGTTTTGGAGGAAAGCACCATGGCTGGAAATCTGGACAAGAGAATTCCAATTAGGTAGTGATATCCTGCAACATTTTGTTGCAAGACCCTCCTGTATCCTATATATACCAGTTCTCCCCTACCCCCTCAATTCTACTATATACAGAACACTAAACACTTTCCTTTTCTGCCTTTCCCTCTGCTCCCAAAATCCTCACTAAAAATAATAAAATTTCCCTGAAAACTCATATCATGGATGCAAAATAAATTCTGCAAAGTAAGCCTAAGGGAAATGATTCATTATTTTATCTAATTTGCATATTTTATTTTGAGGGAACAAGGAACATGTGCTTCCTTGATGAAGAATTTGGATTTTTTAAAAAAATGCTGATTATATGCGTCCATGAACACACCACACTTTTAATCAGCTTTCCATTTGCAATACACTCTGCACCTTCATTTTCCATCAACTATCTGAGTCAGAAAGGATAATTTCTGGGGTAATTTGAATGCTATGTATTGAGAAGGCAGCCACTTAAATAATATTGCCTCCAATTCAATACCCAATTAGCTCAGTGCACATCCCCATACAGCTAACTCTGCTGGAGCTTTAATCAAGCCATATTTTCACGGGTAACAGGTTAATTCACTACACATCATCAATAGCTATCTGATTGTGCAGACAGCATTGGTGTTTCAGGGTTAATGCAAAAGTCATGCCACTTATAATAAGTTAGATTATTATAGTGCATTGAATGGTGTGAAAGTACTCACACTGCCTCCTCCTGGGGTATGTTTGATATTATCCTTTGATCCACACCTGGATTGGACATGGCTAAAGTTCAGTTTCTTATTAACCACCTGCACCTTTGATAGCCAGAAAAAGAATATGAGTGACAACCGCTGCCATCCACAATTATCCTTTCGAGTAGAGATATCTTTTGCATTTTGTAGCAGTCATCTAAGACAAAGAAAGAAGCAAGGGACTTTCCCCTTGGGAGAAATGCCAGTTCCTTGCTTTGAAGATGAAGCTTCAAATTTCAGCTTACTCAGTGGCGAACGTCCTACAGTCAGGCCTGAAATTAGTACAGTGCTTAAAAGAACGAACAAAAACAAAACAAAATCATGACATAGGCTGCCCCATTTCTAACACAGAGATATTTGTCCCAGCACAGGACTGCAACAAAGTGTGTATATGAACAATATAAAGTAAAACAAAAGCAACTGTGTTTGCTTATTGGTTGGAGAGCCAGGGCAAAATACTGTTAAGGGTGGTATATAATAAATGCAGTTAATGGCTCTCTGTTCTGCTATGTCCATTGACATGGTAAATGCTGCTAGGATAATCATATTCATCTCCTGGTCGTTGCTAGCACCACAGAATAACCATTATATTTGGAAGCACATCAAACTTTCACCAGACTTTAAAAAGGGTTGTCAATCTGAAAGTACCCTAACCCAACTGTTGCTCTCTCTCTCTCTCCCTGAAAGCCTCAATCAGAACTGCAATGGAGTTTCCACACATCAGGGTATATAGTACTTCCTGTGCGTTTATCTCCCATTATGTCCTGTCTACACTAGTGGGCATGGCATAGACATGTGGCTGGAGAAGCAAATATTTAACACAACAAGCCATTTTAAATAAATTCTAGTACCATTTTTAAAAAACTGTGCTTCAATGCTTTTAAAATTTCAACAGTATTACATAATTACTGTAAAAAAAATGCTTAAAACTAGAACAAAAATATTTTAAAGTGAGCATGGGGGGAGTGACCAATAGTGATAAAATGGCACTCAATACAAATATTCAAATAACATGCATGTTTTTTAAAACATTTTTTTTAAAAAAGTTGCATTAAAACCCATTTTAAGTTGAAGCACTATTATACTATTGTTTTTTAAAAAATAAATAAAGGAGAAACAGTGCTAATTTAAAAAGAGATCCCCACCCATCAATGACACCTATCAAAAAGGTAATAATGAAGTGTACCAAAGTACAGATGGAGACAGACAGGCCTGCCTGCCTAATACAACATTGCAAACATCAAAACCATACCTTAAAAAAATAATATGACAAGAATATTGCTAAGGTGATTTACACTTGCTGGATTTTCTATAGTCTGAGGAAAGAGGGTGGAAACACAAGAGTTACAAGATTTGATGGCATTATGTTGCTCCACTGTAAAAAGTAAGTGAAAAAATCACACTCTAAAAACCTGGTGCTGAGCACCCAGTCAAGTAATCTGGGTAATTTGTGGGTGGTGTTTATATTTGCAATAATGGTTACCACTCTATCTACTTACTGTATTTCTTATTCACCTTTCACCATAAAGCCCCAGGGTAGGTTACAACAACATTAAGATAAAGCCAAATAAAACCACCAACCCCCTAACAGTCATACATTAATTAACAATTTCAAGGCAGGTCATAAAGACAAGCAAGCTATGACCAGTAAGTTAAGAACGTCCCTTAGCTACAGACTACTCATATTGTTTTGCAGATACAGAATATTTAGGTCTGGCAATTGTTGCATCAGTGCAGGGAATGGGACAAACCATAGATCCCTAAATTACCCTGGGCTGCAGCAGCCTCATAATAATCCAACCCTTTAGTTTAGAGCAACCCTTCAAAGAATGACTATATATTGTAGTAGCACTAGAAGAAGCCCACAACTAGATAGAAATTACTTATCAGCAACACAGTACTGCAGCAAACTGAAGACGTGGCTTCAGATTCTGCGCCCTTCTGTGGGCCTAATTCCATGTCACTTTACTTTCTTCCTTCCTCTCTGTAAATTCTCTATGCAAGAGAATTGAACTAGTGAGTCTGGCTATTGATAAAGAAGCCTTACAGTTTTGCTGAAAGATATTTGTCCTTTAGAGGAAGGGAGAATAATACAACTACCTTACCCACATAAGCCCCCAACATGCCTTCATGTAGAAGAAGGGCCACAGATCAGTGACAGATCATCTGCTTTGCATGCACAAGGTCCCCAGTTCAAACTCAGAAATCTCCAGGTATGGGCCTAATGGTGTCAGTTCCTAAGGCAAGGATTGCAGTCTCTTTCTCCCCAGTGCTTGGGGAGAGGAGTGAAGGCAGCCAAGATTAGCACTTTGAATTGAGCGGGGAAGTTTATTGGTGGCCAATGAAGTCATGTCTGAATTGGTGTAATGAGCTAAGTCCACCTTCCTCCAATCAGCAATCTGGCTGAATCAGCTGCACCTTCCAAATGCAAACCCACATATAATAATACATTGCAGGAACCCTAGAAGTTATCAGAAGTTAGGCTATCCTTGTCCAGATAAGGGCATAGCTGAGCCACCCGCCAAAGCTGATGGAAGGCATGCATGGCACCAAGGCCATTGATAATGTCTGTTTCTTACCCAGATGGAGGATAGTGTGTATAAAAACTAATCTCCTGCACAAAGGTAACATTTAAATGCATTGATTGCTCTGCTCACTTTTGCCTCTGGCCCTGATTATCACTGATATGTGGCCCAGAAAGGAATGTGATCTTCAAGCTAAAAAAGGTTCTTCACCCCTGTGCTGAAGGAAGATTATCTCTCTGCCCCCTGCACAAGCCTCTTCCAAACACAGCAGGTGTTCTAGCAGTGAAAGTTGTCGACATAGATAAACCTAGCTTAAGAATTTGCCAAGTGACATGTGTATACCATGTCTAGTCTCCTTTCACATGTTGGTTGGGTACAGCACAGCTCTATCTAACCATGCACATAGCACTTTTCCTCACCACTGTGAGTCAGTGATTCTATGACATGGCTTTTAAATACGTGTCACCCCAGCTCTAATCTTGGTAAGAGTGTTCCATACATACTCCATTTACTCTATCTGCTCAGATTCCATGTGCTTTCTAACCCTTTGTTTGTACAAATGCACTTTGAGCACAGGGTGATCTGAAAGATGAAACTCCTCCTTTTTGAACAGAGATAGGATGAGGTTGGAAGTGGAAAACAGAACTTTTGCAAGTAATGTAACATGGCATGGAGAAGATTGAGCCCATTCACTACTTTGTAGTACAGTGGTTCTCAAAGGCACTCAGGAAAGTGCAAGATATCTGGGACAGAAGACAGAGTTCTAGAGAGGGAGAAGATAACACAGTAGGCGCTGCCATAGGCCTTTTATTCCCAGCAGCAGAAATTTAGTTTTGAAGCAACCAAAATTACAGTGCTGCCCATGGAAGTCTCAAAGTGGCAGCCAGGGCATTTTCAGAGTGCCTGGCCACAGGAGCTGCTCTCCATCCTGCCTCCTTCCCCGGATGACTAGTTTCAGGAGGAAGTTTGAGATGCTGTTTCAGTTTTCTTGTAATACTGCTGCTAGGTTTGTGCCCCAGTCAAAAGATCTTTATACAAAGTTGTGGGCTACACAGAGACATCTGTGTGTAAAGATTCAGGGGACTCACATATTGAAGAGATGGCTGCCGCTGCAAGGGTCAGAATGTAATGTAAGTTGAGAAGGGGACGAACGGAAGGTAGGTAACTTCCCATCTAACTCCAAACTTGTATTTCATTTGCCCACACATAAAGACAAGGTGCATTGGATTTACCTTTCCACCCCCTGGCTGATGCTTCAAATTTTCAGTGGAACCAATCTTGGACTTTATATTCTTCAGGTCTGGCATCGGGACAGGGGCTGTCTGCAAGCGGCTCTTGACAGAAGAAGGGGATTTTGGCGGGGTGCGAACCACTGCCACCTTCTTGGGCTCCCTGTTTGGTGGAGTTGGCAGGGAGGGTGTGCGGGAGCGACTGCCAGGAGTTCCTGGAGATCCAGGGCTGCTGTAGCCACTCCTGTCTCCAGACTTCACCGGTTCACCTGCAATTTGAAATGAAAGTACAATATGTTAAGTAATCGTTTAGCTGTTGATTCAAAAGAACCTTCCACACTGTTCAATATGCACAAAGGAAATTAGCAAGCAGGGGGAGGACGTTTTCTGTTAGAGCACCTAGCTTATAGAATCATCTCCCCACTGAAATAAGGCAGGAACCAACTTTGGTGAGTTTTTAGCACCTTCTGAAAATACACTTGTTCATCCAGGTCTTTGCCACAGAAAACTGTTCAGCTACTGCAGTTGTTGCCGTTTTTACTGTTTTTATTGTATTTTAATATGCCGTTTTATTATATCGGCATCTATTGCAGACCACCCTAGAATTTTAATGAAGAGTGATATAAAAATGTTTTAAATAAAAAAAAATGCTATGTTACATTTAGTACTGTTGCAACTTTCTTTCCAATGGAAAGATATTTTAAAATATGAATAAAACAACCTTTTACCTACCCCCAAAAAGGTAATTTAAGTATCAAGGTTTTACAGAATTTATAGTCAATGCCAGTGGACAGGATTTGTTAGGAATGAAGAGGAAATAGTAAACTTTTTTTACCTCTCTCAGATTTTGCTGCTGTGTTAGGGGGCCTTCTTTGCTCCTTTTTGGCAGCTGAAAGAACAAAAACAACTGCTCCGTGAAAAACAATGATAATCTTGCATCTTGGTTGCTAGGGGGGAAAGGAAGGACAGACTACAGAGATTCCAATGAATATTAGAAAATGAAAGGGAAACAGGGAAAGTGCACTAAGGGGACAGGGAGCACAGGAGCAGGAGCTTAAGCCCTATTTTAACCCTACCTCCAAGACTGGGTAAACCACTCATTGGGTGACTATGGGAGAACACATGTATCTGGGGGTGGTAGAAGCAGCACCAGACCAAGACCTAGGCTCAAGGCTTTCCAGCAGGTGCTACTATCAGCATCTTGTTGCAATGAGGTGATCCATAATAAATTAATAATAATAATAATAATAATAATAATAATAATAATAATAATAATAATATATTTATACGCCACCCATCTGGTGGGGTTTCCCCAGCCACTCTGGGTGGCTTCCAACAAAGTATTAAAATACTCAATGTGTTTCAAACATTAAAAGCTTCCCTAAACAGGGCTGCCTTCAGATGTCTTCTAAAAGTGTGGTAGTTGTTTTTCTCTTTGACATCTGGTGGGAGGGAGTTCCACAGGGTGGGTGCCACCACCGAGAAGGCCCTCTGCCTGGTTCCCTGTAACTTGGCTGATTCCCTGTAACTTGGTGATTCTTTAAAAAGAAGACAAGCTGGTAGCAAGAAACCACCATCTTAGGTCCCTTTGTCACCATGTCAAGCATTGCATTGAGGGTGAAACAAGATGGCAGCTACCTGCTATCCAATCATCCAGTGCTTAAGCAGGATTATGGTGGCAGTCAGAAGCAGAAATGGACAGGTTGGCTGGTGCTCCCTGCCCTTTATAAAAGCTCATCTTATGATTTTGAGAAAAGGCTACTTCTCGTGTTACTTTTATTAAAATTCCTGCCTTGAGGCCTGTGTCAAATGAACTTTCGCGGTGCTAGGCCACATCAACTTCATGCCACCTTCTTCAGAGGCTTTTTGGGTTCTTTTAAAAGGTTTGTCTGCATAGCCACAGTTCTTGGTCACATCTACTGCCAAGAAGAATATACTGAGGAAGGACTTGTACTTTCTCTTGATACACTACAAATAAAAGCAAAAACCCAACACCTTTGTATTTGAATGTGAGGGAGCTCAAGTAAACCACAGTTTGTTTGGAGCAATTTTCAGAAACCAAACTGCTATGCGACACATGATCAACACACAAAAAAACCCCTCTTCTTTTACCAAGGCTGGGCGGTGTCTTGGGGATGGTGGGAGTTTTGGCAGGGATCCGAGAAGCATTGGCTGGACTCTTCTGATTCTGTCCCATACCAGGACGTGGAGTGGCTATCTTTGTTTTCATATCTGGACCCTGGTGACAGAAATTGAGAAAGGACAGTATTTATTGACTGCTCATAGACTAAAAAAGCAGAGTAAATTGCTGTGGATTAGGGGATTTCCTCTTTATTTACACATTTTCAACCTAAGCCTGAGAAATGGACTCATAATGCCAATACAAGTTTCAAGACTTTACCATGTGCTTATTATATGTATTTTTATGAGGCTTGGCATACAAAATGCTTTTCTATTCAATTCTACCATTTTCTCATTTGATTTCAGAACATAAATAATGAACCACCTACGTAAAGTAAAACTAACGGCTTGTCCAAATGCAAAGTTGATGATGCCTTGTCGCTACTTAGCTCCTAAACATGCAGCTTTTAGAATAGATATCCACAGTAATAACAGTATTACATAATCCCTTTTTCACCCACATTAATTGAATGCACTTATTTCATGAGTCCTTTCTGTTGCACAAAAAATGTGATATCCACATGAAAACATGTGTGACTGTTGAATAAATCTTTCACTGTTACGTCACCACAGCTTGCAGGAGCAGGTGTGATAACATGCAAATACTGTGCCATCTGGAAAACCTGAGCAACAAGCAACATCAAATGTCTTACATATCCATTAACTAAATAAAGCTCAGTAAAACACTGGCAATGTCCAGGGGAAAAAACATGAATATAAAAAACTAAGAATTTAAGCAGAATAAACAAAGTTAGCTAAAGGGAATTTATATTTGCACTTTTCATTTCTTCTCTAAATTGCAAAGTTTTATTGTTACCTACCCAGAGATCTGCAGATGTGGGGCAGTTTGTAGACTAAATAAATGACATTCCATCTGAGCACATTAATGTATCAAGTGGCAATTTATTTGACTTCATTTATGTGCAAATTAAACACAATATTAAGTGCATTCTGAGGCTGCTTGTTCAACTATTAGAAAGAAGTATTCTTCAACTTGGCTATAATCACTGGTCAATCCTAGCACAATCTCTTAAAACGGGAGGAAAAAACAATAGATTGGGGTGGTAGTAGCTAGCCATAACCAAGTAAAGTATATTCATATCTTGGTCATTAGGAAATAGGCAGGTAAATACAAATTACAAACAACAACAACAACCACTTACATGCAATTTGCTGTAAATGCATGCCCAACCCAATGCAAAGAATCTAAGCAAATGGGAAAGAAATAGATTTACCCCAGCCCTTCACTCCACCAACTTCTTTTTACGCCATTTCTTACCTTGCCCCTTTTCTCTTTTGTTCCTGTACTGGTTGGTCGGGATGCGATAGAAGAGATGCATTTAGGGATGGAAGTTGGTACTGAGGACTCAGCAGGGTTGGAGGGTTTTTTCAAAGGGATAGAACTAACAGAGGAGTTTCGTTTGGGAATAATGGAGGATCTACCTTCCAAGATTTTGACAGAGGAAGGTATGGATGTCTTAAAAACATGTGAACAAAATAAAATAAAATCAAAGATCAGCATGAGAAAAAAGTAAAAAATAATCAAAATAAACTGAAAAAGTGTGGTGGTTAAAGTAAAGTCAGAATGACCAATGGCCTTAAACATGTTAAAAGAAAATCAAAACCTAACTGAAACTGGCTTTCTATCTCCTGCACTGCGCTGGCATTAAGAAAAATTTCAAAGCATCACATCATCTATCTCACCCTTAGAAGGATAGGGTACCAAAATCACAGGTTTTTGAAGACTACATCATCAAAGGAGCATCTGCAAGTAAATATGCTCCCACGTATTGCATTTATCAGTTCCGTGGCATTGGTTTCCACCATGACATCATCATAAAGAAGAATTCTGGGAGAGATAGTGACAGCTACATCCAGTAGTGGCTGGCAGGACATTACAGATCTGGCTGCCTTACTCTCTTGCCTTCCAAACATGACATGATGTTGCTGCTTATTGAGAGGGGGAGTAGGAGGGCAACGAGAACTTGATGTAGGAGTGTTCAACTGGCTCTGCTGCCACACCAGTACCTGCTAAGCTCTCAGTTGCCTTGCCCTCTCCCCCCTCCCAGTAAGCAGCAGCAACACACTGTGTTTGAAAGTGGGGACAGCAATGCAGCCCCACCTGAGCCAATCTGCCATCCACTACTGGCTCCATCAATCCCTTTGAGCTTGCAACATAAACTAGAAAAACCACAGGTTTTGCCATTTATTGTTTTTACTCCCGGGGGAATAGCTGGTTAGTGTCTGAACAGGTTTCCATTAAATAAAGAAGTTTGCTTCAGCCTCTTCACTAGTAAGCCACTTCATTATTACTACCGAATGAGGAAGAAGGGTTTCTGAACTACAACGATCAACAAACAAGCCAGGCTCTGTGGATGTATTGCTCTCTACATGGCCAGCAGACATTTTCCAGGCAATCTGTTTGAGAGCTAGGAAGGGGAGAGAGCAGTTAAGTTCCAAAACTTAACCCAGAAACAAAGGCTTGGGAGAACAAGCCTTTAAGAAACCGGCAGAATAAAACTGTAGTCCTTCCAGTCACATGCCTTATCCAGGCAAGTCTGTGGGCCTGTCAAAGCAATCCTTATTTTCAAGCTTCCTGTGCGTGCTCTGATCCATTTTGTGGCTTGCCTTATTTGCTCTTTAGGCAATTCAGTCTTTTCTTTTTGTGGTTCTGATTAATGAGGCAAACGATCCTTTCAAAGCTCAAGTTATAGGGCAAGGTATGACAGCTGCTGCTTTTGTACAGCAAAAGAGGGCTTTCATTCACTTTATTTTATTTTATTTTATTTTATATTTGTTTGTTTGTTTGTTTGTTTATATTTCTATTCCTCTCACCATTAGCCCTAAGTAGGTTACACTTTAAAAACTACCCATAGAAATACACAATAAAATCAAGCTGACATTAAAACGTGTTTGAACTAGTGGGTAGGATTCTCCAAAGCCAGCACCACAGGGAGGAAGAGAGGTTCTACAAACAAGCTTAACACGGATTACCACACAGAAATGCTTCTCAGAGATACTCAGGCTTGAATGAAACTCTGTGCAAAAGGAGATGTCAGGTTTTACAGCAGCAACTTCCTGTTCACACCTAGTTTAGTTACAGGGAAGAAAGTGGCTTCTCAAGCTTAAAATACATATTTTAAAGGGATTCTAACTTAGAATGCCCACTGGGCCTTGCAAAAAAAAAAGTGGGGGGGGGAGACAACGAACTGCATTTAAAGGCTTCTAGCAGAAAGCAAAATATTTACTCCATCAAAGATAAAGAAAAATGTTTTAAGGAAGAACCAAGAATGCAGAGAGGATGAACTGCATCCATGTTCATATATGCTTGTCAGCTTACCTTTGGTTTAGGCTCTTCGGTCCCAGTCTCATTTTTATCTTTGTTGTCCATTCGAGCTGATGAGAAAGGAGAATTACTGTTACATTTTGCTGCGTGGAGGGGTGGCAGTTCTAAAATACAGTGGTACCTCTGGTTACGTACTTAATTCATTCCGGAGGTCCGTTCTTAACCTGAAACTGTTCTTAACCTGAAGCACCACTTTAGCTAACGGGGCCTCCCGCTGCTGCTGCGCCACCGGAGCACGATTTCTGTTCTCATCCTGAAGCAAAGTTCTTAACCCGAGGTACTATTTCTGGGTTAGCGGAGTCTGTAACCTGAAGTGTATGTAACCTGAAGCGTAGGTAACCCAAGGTACCACTGTAGCTTCTAGAGAAGGTAAGCCACTCAGATTGTAACTGTAGCATGCAACTCTCCTCTGCCCTTGCATAAACAGTAGTAGGAAAGCTCCATTCCTTATAGAACCATATTTCTGATTTATAAATTTGCTCTCATTCTTTCAGGCTAAGCTTTAATGCAACAAGCAAGCGTGTTGTGCCTCACACCATCTGGGAAAGCAAAATAAAATAAATAAGTATTGCCAGCTGTATTGGGAATGAAAAAATAATAAGAGTTCCCAACTGATTGGTACCACTTTTGGAAGCTCTTCCAAGTGTTTTGTGTGAAGCTCTGTTTGCAGTGTGATGTCAGGAACTGGCAACAGCATTGTGGCCTTTAACCACTGAAGTAACAGATCACTTTTAATAACCCCATAGACTTCTAAATACAAGTAGTCCAATAACTTCTGCCTGTCTACATTAAACTATCTGAAAAAAGCAGCAAACCAGTTAAAGCTGAACCATTTAGTTGGTTCCAGTAGTTTCCACACTCCCTATAATGGAACACCCAAGTTTAACAAAACACTTACTTGGGACAAAAAGTATGATTCTGTGTCAAAAGTATTCATGCTCCTTTCTAACAGAATGTTGCTTTGCCTGCTTTGGATCAAGTCATACAAAACTCTAAATCAATGTTTATCATTTTGATAGGGGATAAAGAAGCTACTAATTAGTTCCAAGCAATACAACCTAGCTAATGGAAAAATCAGCTTAAAACGAAAAGTGTACGCCTTGCTTTCAGCTCACTCTAAGTATAGGGTTCAGTTATAGGCCATAAAGGGCAACATGTAAATTTAGTGAAAGGGTTAAGTTCAGTCCAAGTTAAAAGCTAAAGTTTCAGCTTTCAGTTCAGTTAAAACCAGTTTAAAATAGTTCAACAGGGGGGGGGGGCGGGACCCTAGGCTTTTAGCTTTAAATTCAGTTTTTATAACACTTACACTCTAATTTTGAATGCTAAATAGATTTTTGCTGGAGGAGATTCTTGAGAGTCCCATGGACTGCAAGAAGATCAAACGCATCCATTCTTAAGGAAATTAGCCCTGAGTGCTCACTGGAAGGACAGATCGTGAAGCTGAGGCTCCAATACTTTGGCCACCTCGTGAGAAGAGAAGACTTCCTGGAAAAGACCCTGATGTTGGGAAAGATGGAGGGCACAAGAAGAAGGGGACGACAGAGGACGAGATGGTTGGACAGTGTTCTCGAAGCTACAAACATGAGTCTGACCAAACTGCGGGAGGCAGTGGAAGACAGAAGTGCCTGGCGTGCTCTGGTCCATGGGGTCACGAAGAGTCGGACACGACTAAACGACTAAACAACAACAACAAATAGATTTTAAGTTAAAACTTAAAACATTAGGGTATTTTAAAAACCCCAGTTCAAGCCCAGTAAAGGCCTGGTTTGAGCTTATTAAGCATAGCATGTAAACTAAGGGGTAAGGGTTGACCTTAGGGCAAGTTGAAAGCTCCGTTTTTTTGTTCAGTTTCAAAATCAGTTAAAATCATTCAGATTTAAAGCACTTTCATTCCCGGAGGGATTTCAACTGCCCACATCACATATCCCTCAATATCACTACCCAGGGTGCTAAACTGACATAAGTTTCCCTTTCAGATTTTTAGTCATTGGAATTTATTGCAACCCAAGGAGTCTTACCTCCTTGCAGGCCCATGCAGAACTTGTCTGAGGCCTGGGGCGGGAGTCTTGTTAGAATAAAGTTATAAGCTCAAACAAAAAAGCAGTCAGTCCCTGGTGGGGCCCATCAGTCACCTTAGCCCAGCAAGGCCTGGGGCTAGTGTACCCAACTGTTCGCACCCCCTCCCCACCCCTTGCAGGAGCTTGCCTCCTTGTGTTTTTCCAACAATGACTTCCTGATCTAATTGGCTGCTGCAGAAGTTGGGGGAAGCTAGACAGGACAATAAGCTTCAGGCAACCTAGAGAGAAAGAATCTGTTTTAGAAGCACAAAAGGAGCCCCATCTGGTGAAGATTCTCAGTCCCAGTGACCAAGTGTCAAGGTAACATGCAAGTTAGGCATCTGTGCAAGTTTAAAACAGAGCAAGTCAGTCAAGCCTCACTATGCTCCACCTCTTCTTTGATTTAAAATTCAAACAACACAAAGCATTCAGGTAGGAAGCCAGCAGGGGTGTGGGGATCTATTTAGAACACTGTACAGAATGCCACATAAACAACTAATGGCTGCCTAGATAGAAATCATGGGTGTTTACTCAGTGCAGGGAGCTCCTGACCCTCAGGAAACAAGTTCACCCCCTTGTGCAAGGAATCTTCTTTTTTAAAAATCTAACTTGTCCATAAGATGTAGTGTGAGGACACTGTGTACTTAGAATTTCAAAAAGACTTTGATAAAATAACTCACCAAAGACTCCTGATTAAAGGTAGTGGTCATGGAATAAGAGGAGAGACTCTCTTGTGGATTAGCAATTGGCTAGGAAAGAGGTTTAGAAAAGGGCTGCCAAAATTATCATGGGACCGGAACAACTCCTATATGAGAAGCTGCATTTGAGGCTTATTCATACAATAATAGGACCATCTAATAAAGCTAAGCAGCAGAAATCTGGTCCAATATGATAATTGTCAACCTCGTATCATTCACTGAGGGAAAAGTTGCAGAAGCAAGGCAACAAAGAGGCTGCTGGCAGGAAGTAGATTCACACACAAACTTTTTTTTGTTTTTAAATAGCAAAATCTGAATACATATATCGAAAATGGGGCTGATACACCCACATTCAGCCAACAGAATCGGCTAAAGGAGAAGAGAGGCTGAAATGTTTGCCTGCAAATCAGCCTGAGAAAGATGGATTGATTGCAACCAACATTCTGTTCACCCCTGCCCTACAGGAAACTGGGGGAGTGCAAAGATAATCCTTGACTAGTATATCATGGACACATAAAGACTGGTACTATACTCTGCTGCTGAAGTGCACAAATTGTTTTTGTTCTGTTATGAGAAAGTTGGTATCTTTTGTTGTGTATCTATGTCACTCTGGGTTGCCTTGGGCAATATAAAGCAAATAAATAAATAAATATGCTCGCTGATTATTACATTTCCCATATTTGCATGGACATCTGAGTGACACTTTCTGAACAAACAAAGCCTTATAACAAAAGATTCTAGGTACAGCCTGTAATCATGCTACCCATCCTCCCCGGTTCTTGATAGAATTTTGTAGACAACTGTCCATAGCTGCCAGAACACAATAAATTGCAGGGTGAGGATGAGGGCCCACTTCTCAGCTACCCCAAGGTGAAGTGATAAGCTTGATGCAGAAGATTTCCATAAGGCCATGAGTCACTGAGTTTCTTTCAAAGAGCAGCTTGTCATAGAATGACTTGACGTTAGAATCACCAATGCTTAGTCCAGACGGAGTGAGCTCCCATTGCTTTGTCCCAGCTCCTGCTAATCTAGCAGTTCAAAAGCATACCAGTACGAGTAAATAAATAGGTACTGCTGAGGCAGGAAGATAAATGGCATTTCTGTGTGCTCTGGTTTCCATCATGGTGTCCCGTTGCGCCAGAAGCAGTTTAGCCATGCTGGCCACATGACCCAGACAAACGCCGGATGCCTTGGCCTGAAAGCAGTGATGAGCACCACACGCCATAGTCAAATTCGACTGGACTTAGCCATCCAAGGATCCTTTACCTAACCTTATACCTACATATCTTTTTCTTTTCCAGAGGCTTCCTTTTCAATGGCTTAGCAGTGACAAATTCTTCATTCTAGCAGACTCTGACAGTTAATTGTAGCCAGCACCTCCCTCTTTACTACAAACTGAAGCTTCTGGAGTTATGAACCTTGTCATCTGATCAGCCTATGCAAAGCATTTTCACACATTCATCAACTGCTCAGGTTTGGACAGAATATTTAAGTCTCATTTGGATTGTTCTGGGCCTTCGGTCTCTTCTTCTTGAGCTTTGGTTCTACTGATTTTCTCCCCTTTCAGTTCTAATGCTCTCTTTGCAGCTGACTGAAAGGCCATCTCCTCTAACACAGCCAGATGTTTCAATGCCAAGGAAGCTCACAGTTAAGTTCTTTGAGCTAAGATTCCTTCAGAGAAACTAAAAGACAGCCCAGCAAACTGTTAGTGGATGTAGCACAGGCTTTCTTCCATATGAGTGCTTTGAGCTGATTTACAAAGTCCATCCAAGATCTCTTTGCATAATTTGGGCAGTTCTGTCAGGATTCAACATCATGCCCCGCTCTATGGAATATTAGACAATGGTCATGCTCAACTGACAATAGGATCTTTCTTCCAAAGAGATGGTGCATTAACAACCCCCATGAGCCATTTATGACTAGCAGTGTTCACTGGAACCCATATAATAATAATATAATAATAATTTATTATTTATACTCCGCCCATCTGGCTAGGTTTCCCCAACCCATGAAGATCAGGTTACCCTTCGTGAAGGGATTTCAACATTCCAATTTACTCTACTACAAATTCTGAAAAGCTGGAGGGGGGGAAAGAAATACCAGTGGTAATTGTTTCACCTGCTTGCCTACTGTGCAAGATGCAAACATATTAAGTCTTTCAAGCAGAGGAGGAAGACTCATGCCTCCTTATTGCAGAAGTTACAAAAGGTCCCAACTGTGATGTCAATATCTGTTATTTAGGAAACTCTTTGGTCCCCCCCCCAAAAAAAACCCACATATGAAACTATGAAGAGGCAATGTAGAAAGGGATGTTCTTAAAGAAGATACATACATGTATTTTCTATTCTCGCAGTTCCTCAAAAAAATAGGAATAGCTTGAGATGCCTGAAATCATGCAAAATTTCATACAGCAAATTGAAGATTTTTTTGAAGTTAATGCAAATGTATTTGTAATGGAAGTAGCCCCCCTTTATTATGGAAGGACCATTGTTAAGCATTTTCTCCTGCCTATAGGTCACACCATCTATCACCTTTAGCTGACACCCTATACAAAGGGTAGCCAACATGATTACCCTCAGCTGTTGTGGATAACAATGCCCATTAGTCTCAGCCAGTGTGATCAATAGTCAGGGATGCTGAGAGTTGTAGTCCACAACATCTTGAGGACACCACATTGGCTACTCCTACCCTACTTTATTTCTCTTGGATGCAGGTGAGCAAAAAATAATAAAACAAAAACCTTTACACCCTTGGCTTGATTGTACGTTTACATGTGCACTGTGCAGCATTTGTGCCATGTGTAAGTGTAGTTAATGGATGGGTAGAATACAGAATGGAAATGGAGAGAAAATTTTAGCCAGTGTATGTTTCACATGAGCATCAAACAGATTTAAGCCAAGGCCAGCACAAGTGAAACATTATTTGTTTAATACACACCACAGTGATCTCTGGCGGCTATTAAATAAGCTAGAATGGGAATGCATGATGAGAATCAGAGACTTGAAAGAATGATGAGACACAGTTTATCTAATAAGTTTCTGATCAAAGCCAAGATTAGTTAGCTCCATTCTTGCTTTACCTATATCTTATCTCAGTGTTGGCCAAACTTGGGTCTTCGCTGTTTTTGGACTACAACTTCCATCATCCCTAGCTAACAGGACCAGTGGTCAGGGGTGATGGGCATTGTAGTCCACAAACAGCTGGAGGGCCAAGTTTGGCCATCACTGTCTTATCTAATTGGTTATAAGACCTGCCAGTGGAGGATCTCAGATGAAGTGAAAAGAGCTAAAATTCCACAAAATATAAATTGTGGTGGTGATTGGTGAGAAGCAGCAGCAGCATCCATGCAGGATAAGCATGCAGCCATTGTATTAATGGATTGTACTCACACCCCAAGTCCAAATGAAGCAGACAGCCATGGATGTAGAGCAGTGCCACACAAACATTTTTGTTTCCTGTCAATTTATCAGGAAAACTGCCGAAGCAGGGAGAGATGTGCAAAATCATTTGTAGTTTTAGCAGCCTTGCTTTCTTTAAGCAGGACAACTGAGCAACACACGCACATGCACACACCTTTCAGAAGTGGCAATCGACTGCTTTGTTTCTCTGGTGTACAATAGGCAGCTTTTTTTCCAGAAGCCTTTTGCAGTTCTGAGGCCTGCACAGTTTCCAATGTCTCCCCTTCCAGGGAGATGCTCTCCCCTGAAAGCTTGCCTACTTCTAGTACACATTCCAAAGTTTTGCTCTCCTTCAGGACATTAGCTTCAACCTCAACTTGGTAAATATGCTCAGAGGGGTCCAATTCTGCAACCATGGCACACCTTTCATCTTCTGATACGAATGGCCTTCTCTCATCCAGACTATCCTGCTGAGTTGTTTCATCAGTGTCTCTGTCTTCAACCTTTATCTGTCCAAATGCAACTTCTTTCAAATCACCTCTGAAGTAGAGTGAGCCATCAGCTGTTGGAAAATATGCCGTGTGAGCAATTCCCACCGGCTTGCTTATCGAAATCAGCAGGGAATCTCTCAAAAGTCCCATCCCTTCCATCATTTTTAGGCTGGCTGGTCCCAATCCTGCACCAACTTTTTAAGGTACTGATGTTGTGGGCACGCCAATAACCACTTTCTCAATAAGATCCTGCAACTGATTATGAATTCTGAAGACAGCCTTCTCCTGGCTTCTTTCAGCTGTGTGGAACTCCATGTATCCATCTGGCCTCTTTAGCATAGTGGCTACATAAAAGGGTTCCACGCAATCTGCTTGTTGGGCTTTATCTGTCTGTGCAGATTCAATTTCATTGCCTACTGATGCAGAGACTCCCCACCCCCCAAAAAAATCTCTAGCCCATCAATGATCTCCCACAAAGGGAGTAAATTCTAGGAAATGTGAGGGCAGCTATAATATGCCTTGGATGATTTCATAGGTGCTCAGATAAACAAGCTATTTTGGATTTTGAGTGATTTCATTCTTAACCTATTTGCATTTGAGTGATTTCATTCTTAACCTATAGAAACGTGTTCCTAAATTCTTGGTTCCACTCTCCCCAGCAATACTGAGGTATGCAGTTCTATTAAGGTATACAAGCAGGGCATTAGGCACAGTAAGAAGTTAGCATGTTTATATCAATACAAAGCCATTTTTAATTATTATTAATTATAAATATTTGAGAGAATATCATTGAAAGAGCAAAACTGAATACCACAGCACCATTTGCTATAGTCAACTCTACTTTGGTTAGCCTAAAAGTAGTCCTCAGAACTCCTAATCTGTTTGAGATCACAATATTGTACTTCTCAAATGTGAGTTACGATAATGAAACACAAACACAAGCATTTAACTTATAAAATCCATCAAATAATGCAAAATAATAGAAGCTGATACTGGATGTATAAAAAAATACACCTCTATTATCAGAACAGTGCTACGAGACATACACATATTTCTTCCCATTTTCAAGAGTTACTTCAACCAGTTTGTTGAAGTAATTCAAAAATTAGATCTGTAGGTTAATTACCTGAAAACTTTCATTTTCATAATATCTATCATTATTCTGTAATCTTATTCACTCATGGTCTTTATCACTATAGTACTAAATGTATTTCTCTTATTTTGGGTTATAAAGGCATGCTAAAAAAAAAAAAAGTTCACAGCTTTAGGGCCACGATAGCAGTGTTCCAGCACACTCAATCACCACCTTCCACCTCCCTTTCCTGTACTTTTTACTAGTTCTCTACTATCTTTTTCGAGGCATGATGCTAAAATTCTAAAACAGTAGTGAAGGTGAATGGCCTCCATAATAAACAATGGTATAACAATGATTTGTTCTATGCATTAGCCTCAAGCTAATGACTCCCCCTTCCCCTCCAGTTTGGCTGTAAGGAGGAGACAGGGAGCTTTGACTTTTTATTTCAATTAACCACAGTCAAACACTGCATCCCAAACCTTAACTGTATTTTATCTTAACTTTAATTAGTTGAAAAAAGCCAGCATCACAGACTATTGTTTGAAGTATGCTGGTTTCAACTGAACAGAATTAACAAACCACAATTTGTCTTGATTTGAACATATTGCTTAACTGCAGTCAGTTCAAATGGTCAGGAAAAAAATTAAACTCTTCCTAACCACACCAGAGGAGTGTGAAAACCCAAGACTTGCTGTAGCTCATTTCCCTAATGAAAAACAATGGCTTATGGTAATTCCCAAACAAGACCAATCACTGATTTAACAAGGGGTATTACAGCATTGTCTGTACTGCACTAAGTTCCATTAATTTCCTTAATAAAACAGTGCAGCACAAAAGATGATGGAAGTACAGTGGTACCTCGGGTTAAGTACTTAATTCCATCCGTTCTTAACCTGAAACTGTTCTTAACCTGAAGCGCCACTTTAGCCAATGGGGCCTCCTGCTGCTGCCGCGCCGCCGGAGCACGATTTCTGTTCTCATCCTGAAGCAAAGTTCTTAACCTGAAGCATTATTTCTGGGTTAGCGGAGTCTGTAACCTGAAGTGT